CTTTTCTCACTAGTTGCACAAATAACTATTCTAGATTGTAACAAAATTTAAGCTAAACCGACTTCCCTTATAAGATGCAGCAGCAAATAAAAAAAATTTCCCACTGTCACCTGACAAAAGTGGGCTTCCTTGCACTGATTATAGCACACCAAGTAGCCAATTGATGCATTATTTACTTAATTTTGCCGCACTCATTTTTTTGCCCCACTCAAGTATTTTAACCAAACAACAACAAACAGTGTGATTTTATTAGGCATATAATATGTGTACGCTAGAAAATAAGTTGGCAACACTTAAACATACTACAACTACGATCAGCTTCTGCAGTGTTTCTCATTTCGTTCAGTGCTTTGATTTAACCTAACTTATATACATGTTGTATAGTGTTTGAAAGACCAATTATTTTTATGATTTCTAAGTTCTATGAAAGCAGCCATTTCTGTATTTTCTATTTTAGGTGTTGAAAATTTTGAAATGAGTAAATTATAATGTAGGTAGATAAATAGTAAGTACCTAAATATATATTTGCATTTAGATACATAATATTTGCAAACAAATGTATAAATCTTACTAATATTATAAATGTGAAAGTTTGTGTGTTTGTTTGTTTGTTTGTTTGAAGTTCAATCACGCATTAACTACTGGACGGATTTGGCTGAAATTTGGCATGATGATAGCTCATATTCCCGATTAAAAGATAGGCATATTCTTAACTCAAAAATCCTTTCGGGCTCCGCCCCAGTGGCTCTGTATTTTCCCATGTTAAACTTATGAGTATTCATATTTAAAGGGAATTAAAGAATTTAGTCAGCTGTTTCAACTAAAAAAGTTGGTTCTATGATATGCAAAAGTATTAAAAAGTTATAAGATTTACCAACAGGGTGCAGCACTATTATTTTTTTGCATTTATGAAAACACCGAATTTGAACTAAGCAGCAACAAAAAACTGTGATAGGCAATGAGAACTGTCAAAGTAGGATTGTTTACAGTTATGTTTATGTTTTTAATTGCATGAAAAAATTGTGATATTTTGCGAATTATTAATAGTTTATTTTTCTATATTGTTTAGGTGAAGTGGTGTAGAACATTATGGCTATAATAGATACTGTAAATTTAAAAGCAAATTTTATCAAACTGTGTCCTCCCCTATTGCGAACGATAAGTTGGAGTATAACCACAATAAGCATTTTACACTTATATGCCAATCCCGTACGAAGGACGGGTTCTCTGCTAGTTACTTTATAAAAATTGAATACATTATTGTTTTGGTAACTTGTTCATAACGATTTTTTTTTAACTGCCAAATGTAACTGCAAATGGTGTAACAGCGAGACCATTCTCTAATTTAGAACCTTCAGAGGTGTTATAAACTGTTTTTTAGCACATTAAAATACCAAAACTTTTCAGAGGCTCTGAACCTTTACCCTGGGGGGTATTTCATATCCTCCTGGTCTTGGCCCCCCTCAAAACAAAATCCTAGCTACGCCACTGAGGTGGTATAGTATATAAATAAAAATCCCCACTGCAGCATACCTGAAGACGTGAAGTGAATTTCCATTTGCCTGATTGGATTCCTACTCCAATAAATCTTAAGTCAGATTCATTTCCCATCGGTGTAGACTTTCCTGCCATACGATGATAATCCTATTAGTGACGCTTGGCTGACCTGTCAGTGCTACCCATCCTTGCGTTGAAGATGAATAAGCGTAGAGTAGAGGGGGGGGGGGGTAGGACGCCAATGTAGTGGGAGTTTGTACAAGGTGGAGAGTGTGAAAAAAATGTGGAGTGAAGAGAAAGAGGCAGAAAATTCAGCCATAAGAAACAAAGTGATCAACAACTCACCCCATCATTGTGATCCAATTGTGTTTATAATATGTGTAAAGGGACATCATTCTCCTATTGGGTGTGAAGATTAGAATTTACAATAGAATAACCACTTACCACCTTTTATATACAGTATTTACCGTCTTGTGAGTTAAAAGTATATTGTGTAAATAGCCTAAATGTATCAATAATACAGGGTGTTCATTTGAAAACTTTCCATATGTATTGTGTGCAAAGGTAAGGCTTTTAACACTTGTTTTTTCTCATTTCCCCCTAATTTGGACATGCCAAATCCAATAAAATTATTTTCAATTTTGAAAAATGACCCAAAAGGGCCCAATTTAGGGGGTAGGGGTGCTTTTTGAGAAATTTTTAAATGTAGACATGGGTTGTGTGATACATCCCGATCATTTTGGTGCAAAAAATTTAATTACTTTTACTGTATTTACAGGGTGGGTCAAAACGTCAAAAAAAAGACTTTGAAGTTAAGAACCGTATTACCCTAACCATTGAACGGAACAGCGCCAAATTTCTTTCCAAGCTTATTCTTGAGCTACTCTTTAAGATAACTTGTTATAAGGACATTTTCCATGTTATTTTCTTATTTTAATAAATCTCAAATTTGAAGAATAAATGAAAACTCAAAACTCTTAAATAGCAAGGTATGACAAATTTCATAACACGTGTTAGCTCCTTTTTAAACAAACATTTTATGTATTTAAGTTTTCTTCCTAATCTCTTACCGTTTAAAAATTGCAGTAGAAAAACAGAATTTTCTATATATAGTTAAGTAGTTATATAGTTGTAATAGTTTAACTTCTATATCTGGTGGATTCAAATGTGACGGAATCTATACTAAATGGCATCATTGACTATATAACACACAGTGTTGTAAAGGGTGATCAACTCAAGGAGACCACCTTTGGGATATCGGAAACTGGAATGTGGATGCAATTTTAAGACTTATTTACTCTTCGCATTTTCACTATAAACCTACTCGTTTAGGAGCTACATGATGTAAAATGTATACCGGAAGTCATTTTTCCATAGGCTGTAACTCCTAAACGAGTGGGTTTATCGAAAAAATGTCAAGACTAAACAAGTTTTTAAATTGCGTGTTCTATCCAAAAATATGATAAAATATATGGTGTTCCATAAGAAATTTCAAACTTGCTTGGCTGCCATTTTGGAAAATAGCAGCTGAATTTTGAAAAACTAAAATCATATTTTTAACTGTCATAAAAAATAAAGGAATGTCCCCCATTTTAAGTTTTCTCTACTTCTTACCATTTCCAATATCCCAATGGTGTCCTCCTTGAGTAGATCACCCTGTATAGTCAATGATGGTACCCCTAAAAGTATGTAAGCATTTCAAAAATTCAATGCAATATGAGAATTGGATGAGAAAGTGGTATTGCAACCTGTGCAATGTTGAGGTTAAGCAATTAAGTAGCCGTAGTATTCAAATTGAATTATCAAGAGTTTTGAATTATCAAGAGGTTCTACTTATCGGGATTAAAACGAATCATTTGAATTACAAAGATTTTTAAAATACTGTATTACATAAGGTACAGAACGTTGCAACAAAATAACCCTTTTTAGTTACTTTACAACAAACAACATCCTATATTTTTTTAGTTATTTACCAGTATCTGCTAATTATGTTTTTTTTGCTATTGATTCTTGCATCATCAATAACAATATTTAAGACATATTATTCTGCTAACAGAATTTATAGTTTCCTATTATGACAATAAGGAATCCCTTCCTTCGAATTATAGTTGTGTTTTGCCAACGAAAGATCATATTACTGCGTGTTCCAAAACGGCCTGCCCTCTGATTGGACTTTGAAATACCAATTGTATCCAAATAAATGCATTGTAGAAATTTGAAATGTTAAAGGTATTATCTACGGACTGAGCTTTTATCTTGAATTATCGTAAGTTTGAATTATCGTATCTTTAACTCATCAAGTTTTTGAAGTACCAAGAGTAGACTGTATATATATGTGTGTGAGTCCGTTAGCACGATAACTTGAGAAAAAAATGGTCTGATTTTGATGAGATTCAGTATAAAAACATGTAAACCTATTTTCATTCTAACGAGTTTGCGAACATGTATGATCGGATTATGAAAATGGGGGTCCATGGGGTAGCAAGTAGTTTTCCCATTTTTGACCCTAAAAACAAGTTTTGCAATTTATTTCCAACCCATTTTACAGAGCTTAAATTTAAGCAAGTAAATTTAATTTTTTTCACTTTTAATCGTACAGCAACATTTTAATGTAAAAGATTATTTGATTTTTGGGAATTTTTATGTTTATTTGTGGCATGGTATCAAATTAATATAAATATTGACCAGTTACTGCATAGTAGAAGTTAAATAAAAAATAGGAACAATCTCAAAACTGACAGTATTATCATAGATAAAAAATACTCCCCCAAGTAGATTTCTCATCCTAATGGAACAGCTGAAGACAGTTTTATTGTTAGTTCCGTACGGTTTACGTAGAGGTCGTGTTTTGTTTACAATTTGTTTCCCGTTATTACAGTAATTTAAAACCTCGTTAAACCAAATAATACGATCTAATCATAAACAATAACTTGTCTCCTAGTTATATAACCAAACAGTGAAGCACAAATCAAGAAACTAACCCTAAAATAATGGAAACAAAATGTTGACGACACTAGCGCCCAGTGTCACCGTACATGAACTAGACACGAAAAACGTGCGTCAAAATTTACAATGGGATGACAAGTCTACTTGTGTTGGTTAGTCTATGGTATTATTCTGCCATATTATAAAATTCTATTAAAATAGTCATTATTATTTTGTTATTAATTCATCATAATAATTAAAAAAATGGTTATTGATAACAAATAATAAGTACTTATTATTTATTAACATTTATTTACGCTTAAAACTTGGCCTATTAAACTGCTATAATATTTTTAGTATGGAAATCATGAGGAAAATCATTCATCAATGACCTATTAAGCTGCTTAACTTATTACTGTAAATAGTGGAAATGGATATGGTAATGGATTTTTGGGACCCAAGTTCTATTAAATAATTCCACGTAATCGTGAAGTTGATCATGTATCTTAAAACTGGTTGGATTTTTTTTTTTTAATCTGTGACTATCACATTTTAATAAGGCAATGTTTTTTCCCCAGCTGACTCTGAAGATGGACAGCTGGTCCGCCAACAACTCTCGGGGTTGACTCAACATTTAAGACCTTACTCACTAAGTTTAGAAGAGACATGTGAAGTGATTTCTTCAGGTGTTTTTGTCATAGAAGAAGTCAACAGAATGTGCCATTATCAATATAAAAAAGAAACCACTCAAGCTCTTAGTGAGTTTTCAAATGAGACTAAACCAAGGAAACTGAAAAAACCAAACTCTTTTCGAAAACTAGAAATGTATATGTTAGATGAGAATTTTGATCAACAACACTACTGTTACAACTTTGCCCTGACTACCAAAAGCCACACAATTGAGCTGCTGTCACTAGAGTGTAAGTCAATTGATCGTAAACCAGGAGTCCCTGTAGATATGACATATGAAGTGAGCTGTTCAACAACAATAACTGAGTGGACCAACTTGTATGTGCATGAACCTGTGATACACTTCAGTAAGCAAGTCAAGTATGGAGTGAAGTTTGAGATTCCTCTAGCTGTTGATGGGAGAAACATTACCTTGAAGCCAGACACTACGTACTCTGTCATGATGATGGTGAAAGGATATCACAAACAATTGGGCAGTATGAAAGAGCCCAACACCAAAACTGAACACTTAATTCTAAGTATAGGCAAACAAGGTTATTGGTACGACTTTCCCTCAGACAAGTTAATGTACAGAGCAATCAGATGTTACAATAATCAGAGGATTAATGTAACTATGGAGTGGTTGGAGTTTTAACTCCACTAAAGTGTGTGTGCAAAAGATTCATATCTTTTTATAATTTTTTTTTATCTAACCCTGCACGAAATACACTTTTTGTAAAATTCTTCTAATCCAAATTTAAATACTTGCAAATTTGCTTAAAAGTTAGTTTGGACATGAACATACAGTCTGAGTGGTAAAGGACAGAAATGCAATTTTCAACAGATTTTAAGTTTTATCTACGTTGTTGGAGCAACTGTTGTGGTACAAATGGAATGTAAAGAATCCTGTATTTAGGTGAATTAAAATCTTGTGCATTATATTGATTGTATATACCAATTCAAAGGCACATTTTGAAATAAAAAAGATTGAAAACTGCAACTGAAAATGGATTCATTTAACCTGTTACACCATTGAAGAATTAATTGTTAAAAAATAAAAAAATATATCTGTAATTATTGTACATTACTAAAATAATAATAGTTTCCGTTGGATTTTTAACTAATATTATTACAGTAGCCTAACTATCTGTTGGATTTTAAATTTTGTCTGATAATTACTTTATTTGATTAAATTACTTTATATATCAAAAAAATCTAATTATTGAAAGTAGAAGTTTGTGTTTGTACATTTGAATAACATCAAGTAGATGAACAATATTTGTTAACCTGGGGCCGATTTACTTATTCGTTTTGAGGTCCCTAAAGGCCAAAATACCATTTGTTCGGATCCATATATTTATATAGGCCTATACAGTGATTTGTCTATTTGCGTTAGCACAATTTTGAAGTAAAAATCATCCAATCTGGATGAAATTTGGTACAAACATATAAACCTACATTTTTATTCTTTATTCAAACGCTTAATAGTTAAGAAAAACAAGTTAAGAGAAAAACTGTAAATTTAAAATCTGTTTTGTTATTTTTTCGGAGAATAAGTCAACTGTTGTAGTTTTCTTGTTTATGGATGTATTTTGATCAAAAGTTGCAGATTTATTTACTTTACTAGTGGAACCCCGTCGAAATCGACGGTTAATCTTGAGGTTTTATGTAAATTCAGCTAACTGCGATGGATAGAGTGAAGACATTAAAATCTTAGTTAAATGAAGGGAGGATAAGCAATAATAAGTATGACGATTGTGTTCCCTAAAAAACGTGATTGATGAATTCGTTTAACACAATATTTCCTACCTTTTTATCGGCTTTAGGTTGCCCAAAAGGTTTTTTAGGAGCCTTATAATTGTTTATGAGTTTGTTTCATACCAAAGCCACTTTCACTGTATGGGAGAATGAGTTCATATAATTAGTCTATTATGTTACGGAAAGAGTCAATATTTATTACTAACCACTAATTAAATCTGCATTAGGAAAATCATTCAGATTGTATCCGGATTTATAAGTAATCTTCATCTTTGGTCATAAAAATACAGAATTCTATCAGCATATTAAATCGGTTTTTTTTTGTTTGATAAAAATATCTGATTCTCCAGAAAGCAGTAACATTCTTACTTCGATCTCAGCAATTTTAATTCCTTCTCTTGCCACATCGACCCATGTATTTAATCCTCCTGTTCTTACTTGATAATTCATTAACTTATTGATTCATTGACTTATGGGATAGTTTTGCCTTGGCCATATAGATCACATAAAGCTGTGCATGTATTTCGTGGATTGGAATGAACCATAATTGTAAGAAATTTGATCACAAATGTTGAACATTTGCGGAACCAAATCCATAACCTAGTCCAGCCTTGGTAACAAATTATGCAAATGCGATGAGATGTGATGACACTGTTGTGTTTCCGAATGTTTTGTATGTAGTGAGGTTTAGATGCGTTGTTCGGCCTAGCTACACGTGTACATCAAAGTTAAAACTGTGTACACATTTTTTTAAATACCTGAATTGATATTAGTTCACCTACTTTACCAAAACCATAGACTCCGTAGTTAGTCTATTCCAAAACTTGAACACAGCTCTCATCCTCAACGTACTCATCTATGACGCAATTTTCAACCCGATTATCAAAAACTTTTATACTAATAAATAAATCTCAGGTGTTCTTTCTTGAATTAAAAAATTAATGGTGATTGAAAGTAGGAAAAAAAGGCAAGTGCCAACCTTACAATATATATAAGATAAGCTAACCCGATAAGGAATAGTTATATGTTCTTTTGAAATTGATATGTCACACTTATTTCATAATTTAAAATTTTCTAAAAGCAATAAAGCATAGATTTTTGAACAAAACATTTTAAACGTATCATAAATTCATCATTTTGTTGAAACTATAAAAAACTTGCCATGCGGTGGAGAATCCATTTAAAATCATAAATAATAATGTAAACATTAAATTTTGACAGTTTTAGTAGACCTTTGAATACAATTTTAATATTAACAGCTGGTTCGGTTAATTAAAAGTAGTGTAAAATTATCCATATGGTCGAAATGTAAACAACATTGCAGAGTGAACTTTAAAGGCCTCTGGGGCAGAGTCCCAAGGAAATTTACCTCGTTTCTCTTTTGAGGGCTCACCTACAGATTAATACCTTTCTATAGACACCCCTAGCAAGTTTCTACGCCCAGCCGTTCTCTCAAATTAGCTGTGACAAAAACCTTGTTTTCCTCCATAAGAATAACATGGGATGGGAATTTAAAGGCCACTGGGGCAGAGCCCTGAGGGAATTCTCCACGTTTCTCTTTTGATGGCTCATCTACAGACCAGGACCTTTCTTTAGACACCTCTACCGAGTTTCTACGCCCAGCCGTTCTCTCAAAATAGCTGTCACAAAGAAAAACAGTTTCAAATTAATATATAGATACTATTTTATAGCTATTAATATTTTACTAAAGAACACACTTCATTGCTATACCCTCCCTGTAGCCTAAAAAGATTAATTGAAAAATCCAATCAGGGAAATGGAAATGTGCTTAGTATGCAGGTTTGCTGCGGCGGGGATATTTATATTATGCTTAAAAAGTCCACTATTTTAGTTTGTAACATTTAAAAATTACAATATAGCGGCTCTGTGTATACCATTGATTTACAAACGATTTTGATGTGAATCCGTATACTGTATACATTTCTTAACCCAGAAATTATACCCTAAGATGTTATTAAAGAGCTATGAAACACCCTGTATTATATAGTACAACACAACACAAATCTATATAAATAAAATTAGAGTTTTGTCTGTACATTGCTTAGAATAATGAACTTTTTGGTTATTTTTACATTTCATAGGTCAGAGAAACCGAATCAAACCTTATCTCAATTTCTGTCTGTCTGTCTGTCTGTCTGTCTGTCTGTCTATCTGTCATTCTCTTGGTAACGCTAAAATACGCACTTTATTACAACTACTCCTCAATAACTATAGCACTGTCCCGCCTGAAACTTATTTTCCAAATACTATACATATATGAGATGGCTTTAGACGTATTTCATCGAATATGAGACAGTTAGATATTTAACAGTAAACCCTTGAAAATCAAGTTTTTGTCGATTTTTGACGTGGAATTTCTGGAAGCCCATGTTAACCTTATGAGAAATGAAATTATTGAATCTTAACAGCTGTTTCAATTAAACAAGTTGGTTCTGTTCTGTGATGTTCAATAGCATTAAAGTTACAAGGATTACCAACAGGGTGCAGCACTAGCACTATTATTTCTTTTACATTTATGACAACAGCTAATTTGCAACCTGGAGGCGAGTGAGCGTAGCGAACGAGCTAACCTGAAGGCAAGTGAGCGTAGCGAACGAGCTAACCTGAAGGAAAGTGAGCGCAGCGAACGAGCTCCAACATACAGGTGAGTGAGCGTAGCGAACGAACTTCAACCAGGACGTGATTGAGCCATGCAAACGAGATCAGATAGTAAAAATAAAAGTAAGCCTACCGTTATAGGATCGACCGGCAGACACAGAGGTAATTTAACCTTTTATTGATTGTCATACCGATCCGGAACAACAAAAAACAACATAAAATGAAGCTATGTATAATAGTTTGGCCAGCATATCTTAAAATATGCAAACCAACTGCTGTTCTTTATATAAGAAGGTTTCAACTGAATATTATAAGATCCCCGTGCGTAGAACGGGTACACAGCTAGTTTATAGAATAAAAATACTACCAGATCAGAAATCCAAATGACCAGCATTAAATTTGCATTGGGATAAAAGAGGGTGCTGGTTCATCTCTCTTATCATTGACTATATATACCTATTACCTGTAGGTATATATAGTCAATGCTCTTATATATAGAACTTCTCTAAAAAGATCGGCATTTTATTATCCGTCTTGTTATTAGTCTTTGTTGAGTGACGTTTGCAGTAAAGCTTTGAAGAAAACGTGTCCAATATCATATAAAACTACGTGTAAACTATGTGTAAGTCAAATCTAACACATAAACGAAACAAAATATGCCCACTTTTGTGATTATCAACAGTATTACCTTACCTTAGTTTTATATGTGTAAAAGAGTCTCTCTTATGTGGTATTCACGTGAAATCAAAACAATATTTAAGTTGGAAATTGGAGGTCACACTCTTGCAGTTACAGGAAAGTTAACTAACCCTGGTCCCTAGTGACCGTAAGGAAAATATAAAAAAATGCAAAAGGAAGTGCATTCGTAGTAACGTGCGCAAGGGGGATTAACGGGACATTCCTATACGTTGTTCACTCATATTTACTTAAGCATTCCAAGTAGGCTACTAAAAACAGATTTCCCTTAATCACATTATTGGTAACAGAAGTTCATTCAAATAATTTAAGTTGAACTGTTGTATGGTATTTACCCTATAGTCCTGTGGTTGTAGTGTCATCCATATCTTTCTGAGAACGTCAGACGTCCTGAGGCGCTGGGGGCAACGCACTTCATCTTCTGTCTTGCTAAGCCTAGCGCTTGCTACCGCTACCCCTCAACGGTTATATCCTATTTCGCCCGTAGCCTAATTAGTCTCAGTTCGCCCACGGTCCCACCCAGATTGACCCTTATAATCCTCAGCTCTACCTGTTTCAGGAGTCTCATTCCATCCACAGAGGCGAAGCCCCACCTCCTAGGTACCCACCCTCCCCCAACTATGACCCCATCACCTTTCACCTCCGACCACACGATTATTGAAACTTAAAATATTTGTTAGACAAACCAGACAAACCAAGCAAATATCCTGTATAGTATTAATGTAAAGTTGGAACACAAAGATCAGCATTAAAGTATAAAGTGGCATTTGTCCTTTTTGATTGGTTAAGTTAAGCTGAAATAAACAAAACAGAATATACAGTAATACCTTTTCACCACACTATGATGTTTTTAGCTGTTTTACATACGTTAATTGGTGG